TTCTGTGTGATTATGTTTGTCTTTCTCTGTGTGTCTGTCTCTCTCATATGTATTTGTACATACATATTTATTCCCAGATATAACCTGTTGATTTTATATAACCGATGTCCACTTGCACAAACTTCTCTAATGAGGACTATGTATGCATTAACCTGTAGGTATAGAGATACGAATTTGAAAACAAAAAAAAAATACTAAAGACAATTTCTCACACAAATATCATACAACTTGTTTATATACACACTCCTTGTTTTACAATTGAATAATTTGATCAACATCATTGATATTTCTAAAGAAGTATGTGTTTGCTGAAACAGAAGCAAGAAAAAGAAACTGTATGATTCAAATTTGTCATATCTCTTAAGCGTGTATTATTGAGAAGACTAACCTCTTTTACAGTGACTGTCAATGTAGCTTATGCCTCTTTCCTGATCTGATTTTTAGAACTCTAAGCAGACACTTGGTGATTACTTTCTGTAATCACATGCCTATTTCACTTCAGGTGGTCCAGCTTCTTTACCGCTACATCTACTTGTCATTATGAAAGCTACTAATTGTATTTTACAGCCAAGTAAGTCCCCACCTTAATATCACATGACCAACCACCCTTGAAGAAGACAGAAATGTATTAGATTCATAGTTTCCATCTCAAATAGTTTCTCTACTGAATCAACAAAGTCAAATACATGGGGACACTGGTCTTTATTCAAGATGAAATCACTCAGACTTACTTTTAAACATAAAATATTCTCTACTTTAGTAAAACTTCAAGTCTGGCATTGTCCATTTGAAACAATCCTTCAAAAGTTTATGTATGAAAGTTTAGAACACTCTTTATATAGAGAACTATTCATATTTTTTTGGAATATGAACTGTACTTTTTCATGGAAACAAATTCCACCTTGGGTCTATCCTTGGTAACAAACCAATATCTAGCTTTAAACCATGTCTACCTCATGTAGGGAAGGGATGAAGAGGCCTCTCTCTACAGTGTATGCAGTGTGTCTGCTTTGTCACAGAAAAGGACGTGGCTCAGAAAATGTTGTAATCACTCTATAATATCTTTAGACGGGTATCTTCAGACAGCTACTCTCTAAGGCCCTATGTTCCCTAATGTCAATGGTCATCGCATTCTGCAAGATCTTTCCTTCCAAGATTTTCACCCTTTCTGTGTCCTGTGGTTTCATTGATCTTCAATGTTTTAAAATCTAATCAGCATAAGCTTTAGATGGTTGTAGTTCTTTGCTAATAATCTAGAATTAACTATTTTCCTTTGAAGCAACCAGGACCATGTCTGTAGTACTTCTGCATGCTGTAACACTAATATATGTCTTTTATTTGTTTGTCTGTTTTGTTTATTCATGACAGGGCTTCTCTGTATTGTTTTGGAGCCTGTCCTGGAACTCACTCTGTAGACCAGGTTGGCCTCGAACTCACAGAGATCTGCCTGGGTCTGCCTCCTGAGTGCTGGGATTAAAGGCATGTGCCACTAATACTTGTATTAAATGAGTGGTTTTAAAAATTGGCAAAGGGTTTTGACTGCAATAGTATGGACATCACCAGCTGACTGTGCTAGAATGAAAAGCAGGGTAGTCCTGGGGTTTAAAGAGAGTTCAAAGAGGCAGAAAAATGCATAATGAATTGAAAAGAAATACAGAACTGGCTGTTGATTGGCAGTAGAGCTAGCTAAGGTCAAAAGGCCGGAATCTGTTGAACAGACTTCATTCAATTGTATGCATTTTCTCATCTAAGCACCTATTACCAAGTATGCCCTATTGATACCTGTGTCCCTGACTGTTCCTGAGATTTCCAGAACACTAAATGATCTTACCTTTCTTACTCCATGTCGAATCACTCAAACATACCAAATATGACAAATGTCTCCTGTGCTGGTTTTTTTTTTTTTTTTTTTTTTTTTTTTTTTTTTGAACTTGATTTAACTACAAGCATCTGGGAAGAGGGAGCCTCAGTTGAGAAAATAATTCATCAGATTGACCTGTAGAAAAATCTGTGGAGCATCTTCTTTATTAATGGATGATATGGGAGTGTCCAGGCTACTGAGGTTGTGCTGTCCTTGGCCAGATGGCCCTGAATTATATAAGAAAGCAGGTTGAGCAAGCCATGAAAAGCAAGCCAGTTGACAATGTTTTTGCATGTCCTCTGCTTCAGTTAGTATCTCAAATTGCCTGTATTGTGTTACTGTTTTAGCTTCCTTAATGATTCACTATAGCCTTTAAACCAAATAAACTCTTTACCCCAACTTACTTTGGATTATGACCTTTATCATGGAAGTAGCAAGGGAACTAGGACATGTCCTTGCTGACTTTTTTTTTTTTATAATTTTGTCAGTTCACTGTTTTTTCTCAGCTTTGGAGCAAGCATCTCAAAGGAAGTTTGAATTAATGGATGCATTATAGGATAGATACATTGAACGGATTTCAAAATGTACAAAATCTATGTAAAAATGTCATATATATATATATATATATATATATATATATATATATATATATAATCTTCAATGGATAGGAACAAAGCTGACCATGATAAAAAAAAAGAAGTAAGCAATGGAAGTGGGGTGCTGATATGGAATTCAATGCCCACCCAGACAGAGGAATTTTAAGATAAGGCAAGATAACAAGTATGAGTTCAGATCCTATAGAAAGCCAGAACACTGTCAACCACGCAAACAAAATGGAGTAGAAAAATGTGTGTCAACCATTCCTGCATCAATTGGTTGTGTTTCATCTTGGCTTGGGCTCAGTATGTTAATGAAGCTTTTTCTAAGAGTTTTCACAGCGTTCTTCATGCAGATTAAATTTTGAATTTATACCACATATAGTGATTTGAAAATCTAGAATCTGAAAAATTATTGTGAAATAGTATGCAAATGCATGCTATTTTGTGAGAGATGAGATCTCAGGGGATATTGCCTGAAAATTTTTCAAAATTGAAGATCAGTCCTCAAAGTCAGAAAAGACTGAACAATGTTCCCAGTCCCTGCTTTAATGTACTATCTGAAAATAGGCCTACATATGAAGAGGAGACCTGTAAAAATTCCTCAGGTGAAAAGGGTCCACACAGAAAACATTTAAAACTCTTTGGGGGTGCTGTATGGAGAGCTGATACTTGCATCACATCTTAAGAATTCAGTCTAGTAGCTGATGGAAACCGAAGCAGACACCCACAGCTAAAGACTGAGCTGAACTCCTGGAATCCAGTTGCAGAGAGGAAGGAGTGAAAAGAAAATGGGGTCAAGACCAGGCTACAGAACCCCACAGAGTCTGCTGAACTAAACAAGGGAGAGCTAATGGACCCCCAGACTGATAGCTGGGAAAAGAGCATTGTACAGACTCAGATGCGCTGAACATGGGTCTCTAACTGATAGACCCTGGGAAGTCTAAGGGACCTCTGACAGTGAAACCAGAATGTGCTCCCATAGTCCTTTGGAGCTATGGGAGCACATTCCCCATGTAAGGATACTCCCTTTACCTAGAGGCAGGAGAGAGGACCTAGACCCTACTCCAAATGACTTGACAGATTTTGATGATCCCTCCTGGAAGGCCTCACCCTCCCTGTGGAGTAGAGGGGGGATAGGATGGGAGAGGTGTCAGGGGACATGGGAGGGAGGGAAAGGGAACTGGGATAGATATGTAAAATAAGAAAAACTAATAAATATATTAAAAATTCAAAAAGAAAGAATTCAGGAGAGTAGATTAAGCAGTTGGGCAGTAGGGAGAATGGGAACAGAAACTTAGGCCAGGATGTAAAATAAATGAATAAATTTAATTAATAACAAAATACAAAAGATGCCCCTCTGGGCAGAGTAGAAGCTAAATACATCCCTTAAATAAGTCTAAAAGCTAAATATTATGCATTCCCTAACAGTGAAGTAGAGTAAGTTGAGGTTTAAATTAAGGGTAGAAATATGTATGGACTGAATTCACTGGCTTGATATTTTGAGAAGTTGGGGTTAGGAGTTAGTGGTCAATAAATTACCTCCACTTAATTCTTTCCTTTAGAAATTTGTTGATTTTATGAAAATGCATGAATTTCTTAAAAATAAAACAAATGTAAACTTAAAAGAAAAAAGAATTCCAGAGTCATCTATCCAAGTACAGGACCCTGAAATCCACACTGTATTAAACCCTGGCTAATAAGTGCTGCCCTAGTCATGAGCTCCATCTTATCTCTACCAGCTTTCTCCTGTGCTCACCGGAATTTGTCTACCAACACCTAGGGAGGAGACCTAGCAGTTCCCTGTGCATGTCAATCCACACACAATCATAAAATTTCATTCATTGACATTCTTTTGTTTTATTTCACCTCTCTGATATGTATATTTTTGAAGAGTAAATTATTTGAACCAGAATTATTTTGTTTCTGTGTTAATAATGTACTCTCTAGAGAAATACATATGAATACTTGTTTCTTATCACTATTGATCTCTCTGACGAAATTATAACATTCTAGCTTCTAAAAGAACAGAGAAAACTATTTTTAATTAATAAAGTATAAATAAAATAATAGTTTAAATTTAACAATGTATTTTAATGTGGTTTATGAGTTTTCTGGCTATAATGTTCCACTTGTATAAGTCAAATGGCATTGTTTTCCCATCACATTTCTATAGGAAATTATGCCATAGTAGCTAATTAATTTCTATTTAATTTATGTATGGCATAGAAATGGATATCAGATGACAACTTATATGATTGTTACTCTCCTCCCACAAAGTATGTCCTGGGAATCAAATTCAACCCATCAGGCTTGGTAGTAAGCTGCTTTATTCAACTCACCAGCCCTGGTTAACTTGGTATTTGTTAAGAAGAACTTCATGCGTGACTACAATGTGTTTAGATCAAAATCACACTCCCACTTCCTCCCCTCCAATTCTTTTTATACTGTCATCCCCCCCCCAACTTCATGTATTCTGTTAATGTATTAAGTAATGTGTTAATAAAGTTAAATTGATTTTCTCACATTCCTTGTGTTAACAGATTGTGAGTGTGGGGAAGCATGTCAAAGGCTACCATTATATCATCGCAAATTTGGTAAGAAATCTTGTTTCTACTTTTACTAAGAGTCAAAATAATAAAGATTGTGTCTTAAAATAATGCTATAATCAATGGTTAAACTACATTATTTATTGTATTTTTGGCTATGTTATTACAATAATCAACATATTTTAATGATTAAAAATAATATATTTTAATTCAGTATGCATTTTATGCGAATTATATTGGATCAGCCAGGGAGACATTTAAAAGTAATTGTAATATTTTCTTTACCATAATATCATTTGTCAAATCACTGGCCTTTTGTCCATCTTAATGATAAATGCTAGTCTACAGATACATATATTCTCCAATTTTAAGAAAAACAAGATATAATGGGTAATTACACAAATATTTCAAATAGGAACAATGTGTTTGTTTTTAAACTACATCAACCTGTCAACTCACATAGAGGAAGATAATAAACAGCACATAGTGAAATTATTGCATGCCCCAGACAATTCTCTGTAGAGTATCAAATAAGGCTCTTTTGGTGAACCCACCAGTTGGGGAAATTGACTGTGGAAATTAGCTCCTTTATTTGATTATAGGGAAGTTTCTTCTTTGGCTTATTTAGGTCTTATTGTGTAAAGAGATACTATGACTATGGCAACACTTATAAAGGAAAACAAATTAATATTGGCTGGCTTACAATTCGGAGCTTAGTCCATTATCCTCATGGCAGGAATCATGGTGACATATAGGCACACATGGTGCTGGAGAGATAGCTGAAAGTTTTACATCTGGATCTTTTGACAAACTGGACAAGCTTGAGCTTCTGAAACCTCAAAGCCCACCCCTAGTGACACACTTCCTTCAACAAGGCCATACATCCTATAAGCATATGGATGCCACTTTTTATACAAACCAACACAATCGTAGACCTTTATCCCGAATGTGGCTTATCCTAGGGAAGGCAACAATACCTCCATGCTTCTTCTATCATTTCCATCACATATGTCCTTGATGAAAACCGTATTCTTGAACCAAGAAGGAAAGCTGATAAAGTATAGAAAAGAGACTCAGTCCTGTCACTTTTCTGTATGTTGAGAGTGCCATTACATGTTAAAAGAAAGCCTGGATTTCAGCACAGAGTTGGAACAATATACTATAGCAATAGATTATGAAAATTATTATACTGTATTTCTTGAGTAGAATAAATGTTGTGACACAATGAGTTATTATAGCAATATCAGTAAATTTGTCTTGTCTTTTCTATTTATTTTAGTAGCCCCACTGTTTACGTGTCCCATCTGTTTGTAAAAGTACAAATATTTAAACAAATATATTTTGTCATTAATCAATGTAGCATAAAAGCATATTTTCAGGGATATCTCTATTCTCATTGACATTATATAATGAGTTTCTAATTAATTTCTTTACCACAAATGGACAGTTTTGACATATATTCTTTCTAAACAATGTACTTAGAAAGGAAAATCAATATGTTATAAACTATCACAGAAATGAGTGGCTTATATTGGCAGCTAGAATAATAAGACAATTCAAAATAGAAAGAATTGATATTTATAGTCTGATAATAAATCTCATTACTTGCCTTAAACAGCCTTAGTGGGTGGCAGCATATTTATACTAAAATATCAACATACGAAATAGAAAACCATTTGTTTCCTTGAAACAGAAGCATAACACTCACTAAAAATAGCAATCTTTCATGATGATTTGAGCAGTGACATGCACCCATCTATGTTATAATGTGCAGTATTTATTATGGATTCTCTTGGCATACTTTCATCACTATAGAATAAGTAGTTTTGATTCTTTTAGCCAATCCATAACCATTTTTTATGAACTACATACACAGGATTCTCAAATGCAAAATTTGTTTAGAATCCAAGTAAAATTTTGTATTAACATTATAATTTAATGTTAAATCCTAAAATTAGAGATGATATAGGGGATAGGAATGTAGTTCAGTTAAGAGAGGGTTACCTAGAATGTACAGAGAGCCCTGGGTTCCATGGTGAGTACTGTATAAACTCAATGTGGAAGTACAGGCCTAAAATACTAGAACTCAGGGGAATAATCAAAAGGATCAGAAGTCCAAGGCCACCCTAGGCTACACAGAAAGGTGGAGATGAAACTAAGTTAAAATAAGAAAAGAATAGGAATAAGATAGGAATGTGTTAACATGCTACTTTTATTAAATATTATAATATGGGATAAACATTATCCAAACTGAGAAAATATGTTTATCATACAGCAATAGTATAAGGAATTTTTCAAAATAATTATGAGCTAATGCATGAGTTCTAATGCATGTATGTAGGCCACAAGTAAATAAGCATTTACTGTATTCATAATATGATAACAAACTTTCTGAAATAACTTTTTTAAATTTTAAATTATTTATTTAATTATAAGTTACAATTAATAGGAGACTAACATTTCACCTTTCATTAAAGTTTACTACCCTTATTATCAAGTGGGTACATTGTAAGGAGTATGGTTTTTCCACCCGCCCCCCGGACTTGTCCCGTCACCACGCCAGCCCCAATTAACACACTGAGACTCTGTATTTGATATAATTCTGTTGGCCCGTTACTTGTTTCTTATTGGCTAGCTCTGTCTTAATTATTAACCCATTTCTGTTAATCTAATAATTCCACCTGGTCTTCTTACCAGGGAAAGAGGCCAGAGACTCTTCTCCCCAGGTTTCTCCATCTTGACCCCTCCTTACTACTTCCTCTTTCCTCCTTGTCTCCTAGTCCCTCCTATCTTGCTTTCCTATGACCAACAGTGCTTTATTCATTAAACCAGTGTGAGAAACATATACAGAATGACATCTCCCATCAGTACATATATCCCAGATTCATTTTTAGCAGAATGATTCTGTTACAATTTCAAGATCAAAGCAGTCAATATAGAGTAAAACCTATGTTTACCAAAAAGAGAATAAAGCTAAATAAATATCAATATGTGGGAACTGCACGATGAATTCATAACCATTATTTTTATGAAAATCAAGGAAACTCTTTATATAAACAAGGTTAACAACTTAGAGAACCTGGTTGAAATATGGTATTTTAAAATGATAATCCTTTGACTGGGTGTGGTATTTAATATCTATAATCCCAGCACTTGGGAAGTTGGTACAGGAGGATAGTAACTTCAAGGCCACCCTGAGCTGTATAAATTCAAGGTGAGCTTGGAAAACTTAAGATACTCATTAAATGAAAATTTAAGGGAGAGCCAGGTATCATGCCTCACAGCAGCAATCCCACCATTGAATAGGCTGAAGCTGGAAGATTTCATGAATTTAAGGCCTGTGTGGGTTCATAATAAGTTCTAAGCACACCAAACCCTGTCTCCAAAAATTCAATACAAGCAAGTAAACAATCACAAAATAATTGAATGAACCAAGAAACAGAGTAGGGAATCACACAGAAATCCTACCTTCTTAGTATGATTGACTGAAAGGAAAGCAGATTACTATTTTTTTTAAATATTTTCCAGCTTCTTTATGAGTAAAGATGCAAAGGGTTGTTAATACTCAGCAGTGTTTATGGTTGTCTTGTATCGCCTTTAAGTTGAATTTATCCTCTCAATTAGCTACCATTCAGTTCATATTTCGCTCTGCACTGACAAAATGGGTATAAATTGACATTTGCTATGTCACAGGAATGTCATGTCCTAGATGTTGTACTTACTGGCAGTATGCTAGCACGTCACTTCTAGCAAGATTAATTGAATTGAAGATCCCTTTCCCTGTTGCTCAAGCCTGAGCCAACTGAGAGCCTGTCTTAATTACTTATCTATTATCATGATAACACACCCTGACCAAGCAACTTATAGAGAAGACTTACTTGGGGCATACACTTTTTACTATCATGGCTGGGAACATGTCAGTAGGCAGATAGGATGGCATTGGAGAGAAATTAAAGAAGATACCAGACAGTGGAAAGATTTCTCATGCTCTTGGATACTTAGGATCAACAGAGTAGAAAATGTCAATCTTGCCAAAAGCAATCTACAGATTCAATGCAATCCCCATCAAAATCCCAGCACAATCCTTCACTGACCTTGAAAGGATAATAATCAACTTCAGAGTCATTTCTAAAAGATATGAGAGCCTTCCTCATTCCTCTTAATATATCTGGTAACTGCACTAAAGTGATCTTGACATGGCTTAGTGTCTAAAACATAGCAGCAATATTAACTTGAGTCAGAGAAAACATAAAAGATGGATTTTTATTAACATTGATGATGTAATGAGCTTATTATGGACATACATCATCACTGAGATATCAGCCACCTGTAATTTCAAACATTTTCTCAGGAGAGGATCTGCAAAGTACAAATGGAAATTAAAAAAAGAAGTCAAGTTGGGAATTAATCTGGAGAGTTCATTAGCCACTGTGAAGTGCAGGCAAGTATAGAAGGCCATTTCTTCAGGAGGAGGAGCTCTCCTTGCTCACCCCTGCCCTCAGGAACATTATTTGTTTTTATAGTTAACCAGTAGTAACTGGGAAGTAAGTGACTTCATTATAGTGGGGCCCTAGATGCCCTTCAGTTACATGATTTTCTGTAGATTCCAACAAAAATAGATGCTCACCAAAGTAACTGTTGCCAAGGAAACTGGTTCACAGTCTAGATACTATCAGTTTTCTATATAAAATTATAAGAACTTAAATGAAAGGGGAAATATTACCTTAATCAAACAAACAGACAAAATTAACCAAGTCACTCCCCATTCATTCAAACCATAACTGACAGGCATTTGTTACAGTTAGACACGGTAATTGTTTTTCCTTTTCCTTCAGTGTACTGTCTGACAGGCTGCATTTGATGGTATCCCTGGGGGCCATAGTTTGCCTGCATCTTGCAGCTGTGGTTAGAGTGACACAGAAGGCTTAGCAGACCTTCTATTTCAGCTAAGACTGAAAGAAAAAATATAATCTCATCAATTAGTAGCTAATGCAAAAGCTGAATTACTATGGCTTTTAGAAAACAATATAATGATTTGCCTGCCTGCAGGTCTGCTCTAAAAGCACACAAATGCTCCACTGACAGTTCAGTAGCTAGAGATTGATGGGTAGTGTGTTTTTCCCCCCATTTCTAACACATCAATTTGCTTTGTGCTGTCTAGTTTATTTCTCAATGAAATGAGAATGTTACTGATGAGCTGTCAAGTAGGCTATTACAAAATAGGCCCAATATAAATATCCATTAATTGAATTAATTAATAATCCCTCACAATTACTGAATGCATACTGGGAATATTTTCCTGCTGTTTTGACCTGGAGGTAATCTAAAGTCAGAATGCAACAGAAATGAGAATCAAAGCCTGGGTTTCTATTGTGCCTTTTCTCTCCTGGTATTATTATAACAATAGAATTAAAAGTACACCTTTCTATAACAATATGAAGAACTACAAAATAGAAAGGCTCAACACAGCCATCAATTCATCTGACCAAACCCTGGCTCTATCGTATATGGATGTAACCTTGAAAAGTTTTTTTTTCTTTACTGATCCTTAGTCTCTTATCTTAAAATATATCAGAGCTGTCTAGTAAGCAAGAAATTATTAATATAGACAGATAAACTATACTGTAATCACCACAAAACCTGCCATATAGTAAGTCCTGATATATTATAAAACTTGGTACATAATATTGGCTATTAGTTCACATAACCAGCCTCTCACTAACAATTTGCTTGGTTATCAGTGAAATAATATGTTTCTTCTTGGATCAACAGAATTGTGATTGTATGGACTAAGAAGGAAATCTGCATTAGCCTATGTACAGTTGAAGAACCAAAACATTTAATGAACTAAGTTTGATAAGATTTCTACTAATTTATAGGGTTTCAAGGATATTTCTCTTGAGAGATTTATACACGGTGGAGCAAATGTCACTGGATTCCAGTTGGTAGATTTTAATACGCCCATGGTAACCAAACTAATGGATCGATGGAAGAAACTAGATCAGAGAGAATATCCAGGATCTGAAACACCTCCAAAGGTATCTACTTGTTTTTGTATATTGTGTACTGTTGTCTTTTTTAATCTTTGGGTTATTTTAGTGTGTGTGTGTGTGTGTGTGTGTGTGTGTGTGTGTGTGTGTGTGTGTGTGTGTGTGAATATTTTTGCCTTCATGTATGTCTGTGCACCATGGGCATGCCTGGTGCCCTCAGAAAATAGGATAAGGAGCCAGATCCCCAGAACTGTTTGTAAGCCAGTTTTAAGCCACTGTGTGTGCACTGGGAGCAGAACCTGGGTCCCATGCAAAAGGAGCAAGTGTTTTAAATAGTCACACCTATGTCAATAATTTTATTCTATAATTCTTTTTCTTATTTTTTCAAACACATTGTAGCATCTTCTCACTGTCTTTGTATGACCAAAGCACTGAGAAATTTATAAATAGTGGGGTCTATGTAGATGGTACAGTGGATAACAGACTGGCTATGTAAGCATGAGGAGCCGAGGTCAGAGCCCCAGCGTAAACTAGTGCAGCAGAGTACTCCTATATTTCAAAATCTGAAAAGTGGATGCAGATCATTCCCAGATGCTCACTGACAGCCATGAGAACTGAGGTCCAGTGAAAGACTTAGTCCTAAACAACAAGGTGGAGAGCAGCAGAATAGACTTCTACCCTCCAGATATAAGTGTGCATGTGAACATACCTACAGATGCGCATGGCTATGCAATTCATACATGAGCCATATACACACAAGCATTTACACACATCAAAAAATAAAATACTTTTCAAATGTCTGCATTTAATAACAGAGCTGTCAGATTAACACAAGCAATGTATCATTATTGTCTTCTGTGTGAACTCCTTGAAGTTTTGCATTAAAAAGTTTCATTAATTAACATTTAAATGCAAATGATCATTATTAATTTTCTACCCAGATATAAACCACATTTTAAAATGGTTTATAGTAAGTAGATAAATTCAAAAATTCATAGAAATTAAAAACATAAATCTTACATACAAGCTGTCTTTCAATTTAAGAATAAAACACTGGACTCTTTGACTTTTTTATATTATATATTTGCTTGTCTGTGTATGGGTTTGCATATGCAAGTGTACCCAAAAAGGCTGGAAGAAGGTTCCAGATATCCTGAAGATGTGATTCCCAGCAGCAACGAACAATGATATGGGTCCTGAGAACAAAATTCAGTCATCTTCAAGAGCAACAAGTACTTTTCATCATTGACCCATCTTTTCTGCTGTGCTGTGTATGTGTGTGTATTATATGGTCTGCATAATATATATATATATATGTGTGTGTGTGTGTGTGTGTGTTACATATGTACACACCATATAAGTATATAGCTATGTACATTAGATGAAATTGTACATTATAAAGAAAAGAGTATAACATAGATTTCAGACAGACATTACAGCAGAAGGAGAGGCACTTGGGAAAAATGGTAAACAAGATGTGAGTGCCAGCTTCATAAAACAGATAGCTGTGTGTGTGTGTGTGTGTGTGTGTGTGTGTGTGTGTGTGTGTGTGTGTTTGAGTGCATGAGTGTGTTGTTAGCATTTGGTCATGGGTACATTTTGTCTCATCTGAAAGAATGGATATTAGATATCATCTCAATGATAGCATGCTTCTGTGACTCCAAATTAGTGGTTTTGACCACCACATAATGAATCTTAATCTCTAATATTTCCTTTACTCTAATATTTCAATAGAGTCTACTATGAAATTTGAGACTCAGACATAGAAAAACTGAGATCAATGAATTCAGTCAGCTATTCTGTTTCCTAGCTATAAGGTTTGTTTTATAGGCTGTCAATTTCCCCTATTGAATATTGGAATTAGAGAGGTACCATATAAAGTCAAGAAATTTCAAAATTAAGTATTTATTAGATGTTCATTGCATGCTAATCTTTCTTTTTGGTATTTTAATGCAAGTGATATGTTGATGAATATGGGAATTGGCTGCTTGTGAGTAAAAGTTCAGAGGTACATGGAATTCAGAAGAATGATTCTTTACTGTCCTTTCTGTGATGATCTCCAAATTGCCCTCTCCATACTATTGCTTTTGATTATTTACTATGTTTTAATGTGTTGGATGTTTTGGGGTATATGATTATAATAATTCTGGTTCATTAACATCTACTTGTATTGAAACCATTTTCACTGTAATTTCATAAATACAGCTATATAGCACATTCTAACAGTACTCACACCATGTGTAAAGTTTTTATGGGTCTTAGCATGATTCTAGGTATCCAGAAGCCATTTATTTATTTTTCTTTTATTTTCTCATTTTACATCTCAATCCCAGTTCCCTGTTACTCCCATGCCCCCAACCCCTTTCCCATCACACCCCCCCACACACAAACACACACTCCACAGGGAGGGTGGTGCCTTCCAGAAAGGATCAACAAAATCTGTCATTTGGAGTAGGAACTAAACACTGGGAAGGAATGTCTTTGGTTTGATAATGCTCTGCTACCTTTCTGATGCTCCACTTAAACAGCACTGTTGCACACTTGTGTCACTCACCCAGCTTAAGTGTCCACCTCCACAGCACTCCACTTTGATCTGCACTGTTGATCCACTCCAACCTTACTGCAAACTTTAACTCAAGCTTCACCTTCTCAGTGATCTTCCTGTATGCTCTCCATGACCTTAGCACTCTTCAGTTCTCAGCAAGGACATTCCATACTTAACACTTGGCTCCTGAAAACTCCTGTTGGGCAGTGTCCATCTAACAACCTTCATATTCTCATATTTCCTAGCTAGTGTCTACATATCTTCTGCTCCCAGTTCTTAGGTAGTACATGACAATAACTGTAGTAAATAGTTACTTTTTTATTACTCTGCTTTGTGCTCTGTAACTTGCATCTTCCATATTCTATAAACCTATGAATGAGAAACAGAACTTGAATATGTTTTAGTTATTTCCTGTCAAAGTCCAACAACATCTACTGAACACTGATTCTGCCTGTGTTTGTCTTCTGTACCTAATAATGGCGAGAAAAATTCAGTTCTCTATTCTGATTGATGGGTAGGACAGCAAATAACTCCAGGCTAAGAAGCAGTTTTAAAGCAGCCCAGAAATGAAATGTTTATTTATACACATGCTCTACATGTCATCTGTGAGCTGGGTATCCATAAATATGCTTTCCTAGACTGTGACGTGACAAAGTAAGGCACATGAAACAGGGTTGGAGCCTTTGATAAGACAAAGCCAGTCTAAACTGCAGCCTTTGTCAGCTTTCTGCCCGGTTAAATTCCAGAACTTTGCTTCTCCTTTTGGCTGTCTCCTTTGCACTGTGTCCCACTGTGTGAAACGGCTCCCTTTTTCTATTTCACGTTTCATAAAAAATGGATGGACATTTTCCAAGAAAGCAAGTGATTGGTGGGCTTTGTTTTGGTTTTGTTTGTTTTTTGTTGTTGTTGTTGTTGTTCTTGTTTGTACTGTCTATTCTCAGCTTCTTTCATACTACTGGGAAAAAAAAGCAATACTTTGCTTTTGTTTTGTTTTGATCTGTTGATCCTGGCACACATGCAGTGCACTTTGACCTTTGGCCTTTAGGTTTTCAACAAGTTTGTTTTTGAGGAAGTCTTCACTTGTCCTTTTTTTTTTTTTTTTTTTTTTTTCTTGCTTTAGAGAAAGATGACTTGGAATCTTTTTCCCCTCAGAGACATGTTGAATGGAGCAAAAGAGAAGACATTCATTTTCCATAGCATTTTCTTCTTTCCCCTCAGCTCCTCTGTGCAGAAAGGGCACCGGCCTTGTGTAAATCTGTTCACTTGACAGCTCTCTCATATTACACACACTTTGTATATCCTGTCAATTCAAGCTGCATACTCAGTTCCTAGACTACTTAAAAGTGCTTTCTTGGAACTCATGCCGTTTTAGTTTTCCTTCAAATGCTAGCTTTTCTGTGTAATGATCATATTGCCTCAGTTTAGTTTCTGCATTCAGAATTCCAAATTGTTTTTCTTCATTTGCAGGCAAAACAAAACAAAACAAAACAAAAAGACAGGTTCATCCACTGTTTAACATGGCACAGACGTCCCCCTGACACAGGGGTTATAGGTGCTATATGGAATTCCTGAAGGGGACAATGCAGTTATTGTCATGCCTAATAGTTCATTATCTTCTATGCTTAAACAATATTATAGCATGATAAATAAAAGACCCAGACTGATATTAGGGTTCAAGCTTCAAGCTGAAGATCAGAGAAGCAAAGCAGCCAGTCACTAGCTCTTACCTCTACCTAGGTTGAGACCAAAGGGGAGATCCTCAAAATGCTTCAGACTTCACTGCTCCTCAGATTGACTCAGACAGCTATGCTTTCCTGAATGTGGCTAGAGACTGACTCTCGGACTGAATGTCTCTACCGTTTCTACCTCTCAAATGCTCAGATTAAAGGCATGAGCTCTGATTCACTCTCTGGTAGCCCAGGGTGGTCTTGGACTCAGAGATCTGTCGACCTCTTAATCCTGAGTCCTGGGATTGTATATAGGTGTGTGCCTGGCTTCTGTGGCTAATTAGTATGGTTGTGTTGCTATTTTGATCTCCAGTGCCTTTAATAAATCATAAACAATATATCACCACAGAATTTGTTCTATCACCCAGATGTTTAGATGTTTAGTAATTCTCTAATCAAACATCACCAAATTTACTCCCAGATCAGATTTTCCTCTTGGTCTTACCTCACTGCATTACAAATAATTTTGTGCTGGGGACTCACTCTTTTTTGATTTTTTTTCCTTTTTTTTAATTTAAATTTGAAACAAGGTTGTTTTGCAGGTTAATCCCAGTTCCCTCAACCTCCCGCCCTCCCCTATCACCCCCAATAAACCCCTTCTCATTCTCATCCCCTTTCTGCTCCCCAGGGAGGGGGAGGGTTGAGGCCTTCCATAGGGAGTCTTCAAAATCTGACAAATCATTTGGGGCAGGGCCTAGGCTGAGAAAGTATCCGTCAATGTAGGGTGGGCTCCCAAAGTCTATTTGTATACTAGGAATAAATATTTATCTATTACTCGAGGTACTCGAGGCCTCATAGACTACCTAGTCCTCCTAACTAACACACACATTCAGGGGGCCTGGTTTCCTGCTATTAGACTGGGGTGCATGAGCTCCCCCTTGCTTAGGTAAGCTGATTCTGTGGGTTTCTCCAGCCTGGTCTTGACCCTTTGCTCATCACTCCTCCCTCTCTGTATCTGGATTCCAGGAGTTCTTCTAGTGTTTAGCTGTGGCTGTCTGCTCCTAGATGAAGGCTCTAGGATGGCATATTATGTAGTTGTCAATCTCACTATCGTGAAAGGGCAATAAAGGTAGCTTCTCCACTATTGCTTAGATTGTTAGTTGGGGGTCATCCTTGTGAATCTCTGGGCATTTTCCTAGTGCCAGATTTCTCTTTAAATCTACAATGGCTCCAGCTATTATGGTATCTCTTTTCTTGTTCTCCTCTATTCTTTCCCTGTCTCACTCCTTTCCTAAGGAGAAACAATGGATGGTCATTAGAAAGATAGTTTCTATTTAGTATTTCTACATTGATACTGTGATGGGGAGTTGGAAATGTAAGGCAATGATAAGTTCTCTTGGGCACATTCATTGGATGACAGGTGCATACACTGTTTTAGGGTTGAATAAAATAGATATTATTCCTAGCATTACATTTCTCAAAAACAACAAACAATTCCTCTGGGAGGCTAAATGGAGATACTTCAGGCTGAATGCAAAGCAAGTCTCAGAAAACACTGTTAGGCATTGGGGGGAGAAGGATAGAATAAGACAACCCAGACCTGCTGGGCCTTCACCAGTGCAATGCAAGATATAGTGTAGTATCTAGCTGTTCATTCTGAAACACAATCTAAATTCCCAACCTGAAGCCTTTCTTATTCCAAATGATGGAAATTTGTGCTTTCTAGTCTCAATTTGCAGAGTGGGTTTTCTCCTTTAAAATGAAAAACAATAAGATGTGTCATACAGTCTTTGTGTTCAAGCAAGAGCAAGTATTCCCAAAGCCACCATCAATAAATTATCAGTACCATGCTGGCTCTTGGGAAAAGATGGAGTTTTTTTCATAAACCAACAAAGATACAGATTGCTCATTGTGCTAGACTTTAACATCTGCCTTATCCACTCTTTAACATGCTCAGTACACCTCTGCTCTGACGTATGATGGAGTTCTGGTGATGGCTGAAACCTTTCGAAGTCTCAGAAGACAGAAAATTGACATTTCAAGGAGAGGAAATGCTGGGGATTGTCTGGCAAACCCTGCTGCTCCCTGGGGCCAGGGAATTGACATGGAGAGAACACTAAAACAGGTAACTCATACTTTTGCTTTATTGTATGATCTTTTATAAATATCGTATTTTAAAAAAGCTAACTCATCTGAGCATTAATGTCTATTACAATTTTCATGTTAACATATCAAGCCTCCTACAATGTCAAAACATTTTAAGTAGAACCTCTGTGTTTATTCCTTTTATGGCTATGTAGTGGAGATAACATCTCAAATCCAACAAAGTCTAGAAACATGAAGGGGATCGGTGTAGACACATTTTGGTTAGCAAGAACCCTGTGCTCCATAAAGTGACTCAAGGACCCAGCCTGGCAGAGCAGCTACCATTTTGAATCAGCAGATTGTTGTTTCAGGGAATTGCTGAAAATACAAATGAATGCATTGTTTCAACAATGTCATTCATATCTGCTTAAAGCTCATATACCAGAAAGCATCGTTGGCTTCACCAGCCATTGGAAGTCCAACACATCTAAAACTGCATCATAAAAGAAGAAGAAATATTTGTCAGAGCTAAGGACTGCTTCAAGACATCTTTAACTTTGAATTAAAATATTAGTTTTTTTTCTTTTTTACCGACATAAACAGTATGTGTCAAATAATAAGTGTTAAAGATATTATATGTAAGAATTATTTAACTTCTCTGAAATGTACTAAGTTCAAAGTGTAAATTAAATGCATGTGAGTCAAAAAAGACATTGGAATTCAATGTGAGTGGATATTTTTAAATACTGTACTTTTAGCTTTCTACATACTGCAAGGAAATACTATATATTATGCATATATATATATGCACATATATATATATATGATATAGAGAAAACTGTAAACTATCGCTAAGCAAATACAAATCTTTTCTATAAAGGCTATTCCAATATTGGGAAAGAATTATGTTAGTTAAAATGAAAACTTTATAATACAAAAATTTCATCTCCTAAGTATAGAGCAAAATAACTTTTAATATCCTTTCATATTCCTCCTCCAGGTTCCATCTCAGTAGCTCAAGCATCCAATAACATTCCAGAGAACTGACTGTAGCTTTTAATTCAATAGCATTCTATGGACATTAGCCTAGTCGTAGGAGATTTCCCTAAGTGAAGCTGCAAATGAATATGTATATGTTTTCTTTTTCCTTCACAGGTTCGAATTCAAGGACTGACTGGGAATGTTCAATTTGACCACTATGGACGTAGAGTTAATTACACAATGGATGTATTTGAACTAAAAAGCACAGGACCTCGAAAGGTGAGCTATGACTTATCTGAAAAATAAAAATTGTTCTCTTATTTTGCACATGACACTCTTAAAGGCTTATAGGAGAAAGAAAGCTCGATGTTCTACATTTCTATTTTCAAGTGATGCTCTCAACTTGTACTATCTTGATGGTCTATGCTAAGATAAATGTTTGTGTCATGAATTATTAATGATGTCACAAAATAAAACAATGAACTTGGTGCCATGCGTTGTAACTCACAAAAGGCGCAATGTAACAAGAGGAACTTGGCAAACAAATTTTGAAAAAAAAATGATTGCACAGAAAAGAACATAACACAATAAGAAGGCCCATGTATGGTCTGTGACTCTTTAGAGTGTCCCTGCTTAGAAGTGTGTGTACTTCATACTCACCATTGGCTCTGGAAGTAGCCAGGCCAAGTCAAGCAAACAAAGGAAAGCAAATGGAAGATAGTTACTGGGCAATGGAAGGAGAGAAATGCTAGTCTAAGAAAGTGCTGGCATCAAGGTCTTACACTTCAAAAATATCTCAGCATCATTTTTGTGACTGTGAAAAAAAATACCTTGAAAAAGGAAACTTAAAGGAGAAAGGGTTTATTTTAGTCTGCTTACAGTTACATTTTACAGTTCATCATTGACTACAGGTACAGGCAGGAACTTGTAGTAGGTCACATGACATCTACAGTCAAGAGAAACAATGATATGCATGTTACTCATGTGAATGCTTATGCTCACCTCAACTGCCCCACTCTTACACAGTTCAGAAGCCCTTGTTATGGAATAGGGTTGCCTCAGTGGGCTGAGTCTTCTGGTATCAATTAAGACAATTCTCATCTACACAACACTCATTGAGAGCCTGGCCCCTGGTGGTTCTGGTTGTATCAAGTTGGTAATTAGAGCTAAACATCAGCAAAAAGCAGCTTTACAGCTCTCAGGCATGAGGGCTCAGATCATTTATATTCCCAGCATGCCCAAAGTAGTCTACATCAGAGCTGCCTAAACCTTTCTTCTCAAGACTTTCTTCTACCTGAGACATTTTTATGTGAAGCCAGACATATAAAGTAGGCAAACAAATCAAACATTTATCGATTAAAATTCATAAGGAACTTTATATTTAAAAATTATTTAGAATAGCTATAATTTTATCATTTATGAATACTAAAGACATGGATGTGCTGGACTATTTTTACATGAAAAATTAAATTTACTCTGAAAAAGATAGTGCCTTTTCCCTCCCATTGGTCACTTGTTTTGATTCTGTCAATGCTGAGAAGAGTGCATCACATAAATATACAGTGTAAAATGTCCGCAGCAGTATGTTTCAACAGTGAAAAATGTCCGCAGCAGTATGTTTCAACAGTGTAAAATGTCCGCAGCAGTATGTTTCAACAGTGTAAAATGTCCGCAGCAGTATGTTTCAACAGTGAAAAATGTCCGCAGCAGTATGTTTCAACAGTGAAAAATGTCCGCAGCAGTATGTTTCAACAGTGTAAAATGTCCGCAGCAGTATGTTTCAAGACATTTCTGTTCAAAAACATTTTGAAAATGTCTGGAAATCCTGTCCTAATCTCAAGCCAAAATCCATCCAACATTTTCTGTAAAAATCAAGTCAGCAGATCAAGCAGAAACTTTGAAAATCAAACCACATATGAGTTAGGAGTGGTAGAACATGCCTGGAACTCCAGTGCTCAGGAAGCAATAAGGCAATAAAAAAATTATCTATAGGTATGGGTCATCCTCAACTATGTAACAAGCTGCAGGAGAACCCCATCTCTAAACCTAAGTAAGTAAATAAACCATTCCAACACAGTGGTGTCTTCAAGTTATGGAATGATAGGAGAAAATATTAGGTATTTGTTTTCCATAATTAATCCATTCTATTTCTATGAGATCTAAAACTTTATGTGTACAGTAAAAACACTTCAGTGAACAGCATATAGAAGTCTCAAGCCTGAGAAAAGGTTTTTCGGACAGAATGCATCAGTGTCATGTGCCATTATGGCTTGTAGTACAAAGCGTCCATGTTGTGTATTCAGAAATTAAGGCTGTAGTGAAGTCACATGATGCAACATAAGCAGGTGATCCAGCAAAACCCTGACTAAGTGCACATTTGATTATGAATAAGATGTGATCACTGAAGTATCAGAAACTTTTTATTGGTGAGATATATATATATATATATATATATATATATATATATATATATATTGGTAAGCCACTGCTTAAGAAGCTGAGTTAGCCAGGCATGACAAATGAAGATCCAAGTGGATGTCTGCAAGTGAGAGGCTAGCCTCGTCTACAGAGTGAGGTCCAAGACAGGCCTATATAGTGACAACCTGTGTCAAAGAAAGGCATGAAGGAGAGAAAGAGAGGAGAAGGAAGAGATAGCCTCTGAGCTGGGCTTTAAGCAATTGAGCCATATAATCTCACAACAGTAGTTGTTTCTAAATATTTTATAGTGACTCATTCCTAGGATTCTTAACTTTCTCTTTTCTGTAGGATTATCTAGGAAGTCAAGAAAGAGAGATGTTAACATCAGCTTTCAAAAACTGTTTCTCAACATTTGGCTGTTTGAGAAATAGTTTATTTAACATAACAGCTACAATTTATGGAAGCCCTACTACGTTCCAAGCACCCAGACATGATGCTTTATATAATGCAGTCCTCATAATCAGCCTACAAGTTGGCCTTTACTATGTTTCCTTTTCTTTAATAAGAAAATTATGCCCTAAGAAGTTATGTATCCCGTACAAAAGAAATTGTATTGAAATATGCGTGACCCTAGAACATTTTAACACAAGCTTTGCCTGAACAAACCCAGATCGAAGAATTTCATTTTAAGAAAGCTAAGACATGCAGTCCATTTCTTAGTTAAAGAGGAGGCGTGTGGCACTGTAAAAGGAAAGGGCCACTCAGAGCTGGAGGAAATTATCACCAAGCCAGGTTGCAAGGCAGATGTGAGGTTTAAAGTTAGCTGTAGAGACAGGGGTTAGATAGGTAGAAGAGGCAACAGTGGTGGGAATGACTTGGAAGCAGAACAGTCAAGGACATGTGTAGAAATGCAATGGCTTTTCCAACGCTTTGCTCTCAACTATCGCAAGAGGAAATTCTGGGGCTTCTGGCATATTACCAACCTCTCAGTGAGCTATAGACATGACAGAGTATTCCATAGACAACTGAAACTGTTAACTCCTGGGTAGGCAGAGGGAAGAGCAGCCACCTTTGGTTCGTGCAAGGAAGATTGTAGAGCTAGAGGACTAAGCAGAATCGTTTTAATGCAAAAGGTGACCTTTTATCTTACAACACAGTAACAATGGCTAGTCAAATTGCTCTTAGTAAAATTCAAAGAATAGGAAGAGGAAATAGGTGTTAGCTCACAATAATACCTTGTGGGCTATTTATACTACTAAGTCTTTTCATGGCCTGTCAACCATAGTGGTAACAGGAACTAAGGTTTCTCAATGAGGAATTTAAGGAGTGAGTTAGGAGAGTGATGCACAGATGGCTTCACACCCAGCTGACATCCAGCCAAGACTCTTATAAGAAAATGAAGTGTGAAAATGTGCAGGCTTATCTGTCTTCGTTTTCCCGGTGGCAGTGATCAGCAAGGTGGTATGCCAGTAATATTAAACTTAAACATAAGCTAGCTAGTGTGAGAAACACTATGCTGGTGAGACTACAAGATGTGTCTGAAAAGTGAGCAATCATTCTTGTAAATTGGATACTTACCAGTAAGGGAATAAGCTTTGAACATACATCAGAAAAGCAAACCATCAGCTTGTCTGGCTTCTGTGCCAGTAAGCCTGATTGTGTATCTCATAAAGTCAAAGCACAAGGTTTTCTGAAGCAGGTCCCTAGATGAATGGAATCTCCTTGCTTACTGGCCCCCAGAGCTCCAGAGGGCATCTCTTACACACACAAACATGCACACATGCACACATGTGCCAGGGCTCCAAAGGGCATGACTTACCACCCCAGGGCTCCAGAGGGTGTGTTCCAGAGGTTCAGGAAATCTTGATGGTTAAATTTCATTTACTGAGTGTAGGTCGTATGCTGGGTACTATCATGGAAAACCAATATTTGCTTCCATGTTTTTTTTTCCTCTTGACAGTGTGAAACTAATGAATTCTTCTCAACTTATAGAGATCTAGGACCAAGACAAATTAAGTAGCCTGCTCAGGGAGAATCAGCTACAATAGGTGGTGGTGTTAGAGAGAAGAGAAAATTCCAGTGTCTCCAGAGCTGTTCTCTTGGTAAATTTACAGCAGCTGTCCCCAAGCTGTAAGATTTCTATTCAGACCCGATATGAAGATGAAGTTAGACTTTTCAAGACAGAGCTGGATGAAGCACCTCTCTAAGACATCAATATAGTAGAAATAGACTCCTATGCGCCAAAACACCTAGCCCCAACCAAGTCTACTACACACACAGGGACTTTACTTATGCACTCTATTTTATCTGGTGCTGTATCTGATTCAAGTTGTTATATTTGTGGAAATTTAACCCTCCAGATTCCAAAGATAAACATTTTTTTCTGACATTTATTGCAAGTTTAGTGATTTAAATCTTTCCATATTTTTTGTTTGTTAATATAAAATCATTTTCAATCTCTAGGGGAACAATTCTTAATTAGTTGTTTAACATATGAGATCACACAAGACAATCTATAGTTTAAAAAATATGTTGGAATGGAATGGAGTAGAAAAAGAAACTCCAGCTCGAGCTCAAACTTCAGCACATTTTTCTGAAATTATCTGTATAATTAATAACTTTCCAATAAATTTGTAATAACTTTTAAAAGTAAATAAAAGGTATTATTTACTTATTTAAATAAATCCTTGATGAAACCTACCATAGACTAGATGTCTAGCTTTCTTTTTTCATTAGAATTACATGTAAATATAAGGCAAAACAATGGAAATTTAATTTATTATTTTAATTTACAGCACTTCTGAATCATTTATCCTCCTGGGAGGGATCATTACGCAGTTATTTCAGAGACTCACCAATAACTGTGAATGTTACAAAATGAACCCAGATCCATGGGTGTTTTCCCAAATGGGATTCATTGATAAAGAAAAACTCTCTTCTTGTTTGAAAATGGGCTGCACTGATCTTCAGGGTTGGCTATATTTTAATGGAGTGCCACGCTGTAAAACCCTCTATGAGCATACAAGCCCATCCTATGAGAAAGATAGTTACAAGAAGCCACTGAAATCTTTTAAAAGTCCATGTAGGAATCGAAGGAAAGGGGTTTCAAAATTATTTTTAAGTAAAAAAAAAAGTTTCAAAGAATTGTTATCTTCCTCCAGAAGTTGATATACATTTGAAAGTAACTATGAAATATATATGTACTATAATTTCTAATTGAAATCCTTGTGAATCATTTTCTTTCTTTGACAATATTAATGTTTTGCTTAATGTTCTGACATACTAATATGTCAGTTAAGATACTTGACAGAGTAAGAGAGCTTTCTAGACCACAGTGGATCAGACACTGATTGCAGACCTGTCAGCAAGTATACACATTTTATAGGGGACCTGAGCTTTATTAACATCATTAAGAAATGAAGCCTGGCAAACATTAACTGAGCACTCACTTTTGGAAAACATGCAGCATACAAAGTAAAACTGTAAGGATTTGGTATTATATAAGCTTCAGTTCCAAATTCTCACCCTACTGGACTGTAATCTTGAGTCATTTGTTTAGCCTCCATAGGGTTTTTCATACCAAAAGCATAGACAATAATATCAACAAATTCAATATTCTATGCAAAGTAACTTTAGCAGGCATGTCCAAGAGCAGTATTCTTTGTGTAGCAGTTATCATTATCCTCCAATAGTAGAAGTTCATCCATGCCTCCTCAGTTTACAATAATATTCTATTGCCATACTTCATCTTAAGGAACTAACTGATTTATTTTATGTAGAAATATGTCACATACATAAATAAATGCTTTCTTATAGAACCCAGGACAAACAGCCCAGGGATGGCATCTCCCACCATAAGCTGGGCCCTCCCTCCCACATTGATCACTAATTGTGAAAACGTCTTATAGATGGCTCTCAAGGAGGCAGTTTCTAAGATGAGGCTCCTTTCTCTCTAATGACTCTAGTTTGTGTCAAGTTGACACACAAAACCAGCTAGCACAAACTGATAGCATGTGCATGTGTGTGATGTGTGCAAACTAATGAGTGCAGGACCAGAGGAAGACCTCAGGAATTCTGCTCTATCACTCTACACCTTATTCCCTTCCTCTAAACCTGGAGCTAGATTAACAGCTAACAAGCCCCAGCAATCCTTCTATCTCCACCCATCCCCAAGTAGAGGTACAGTCACATGCACCATCACGTAATGCTTTTTGCATAAGATATGACTCTTCATTCACTTTAGTGTATGTTCTGTAGTTTTCTTGATGAAATTGTATAAATTAATGTTAGGCAGTGCTGACCCATCTCACTAGATGAGAAGACCAGTATGTCCAAGGTTCTATCTGTCTCTTGCATTCAGAACCACTGCTCCCCTTAACTACTTCATGATTCTGAATTTGCTAAACATATAATAAATGTAGTATCTGTAAAACTGAGAAAACTGTCTCAACAGTTTTTTTCTTAAACATCCACAACGCCACCATTTCACCTGAGGCTCTAGGGATATCAGGCAACAGGGAGCAGAAAGACTGTAAGAGACAGAGGACCAGGACACCTGCTGTGAGATTGTGTCTTCTGTATTTGTCAGGGAAGCAGCACCCATGAACTTAAAGCAAGACCAGCATAATGACATCACCAGTTGTCTTGCAAACATAGACAGGGGAAGTCCACACAGCCCACCCCTAGATCATGAGATGCAAGTGGTCAATACTTGATAAAAAAAAGAATCAGTTTCCTCCAGGAACAATTTCCCACACAGGTTGTCCGGTCCTAAGTGGTCAGCCTTTGGCACAGGCACATATAAGCAAAGTTAAAAGACCCGAGTAGGTTGTATATATGTGTGTACATACATGTTGCAAAATAATTAAGGAACAAATATTGAATTTTGGAGGACACTGGAGAAGTCTGTGGAGAGGAAGAATGTCAGGGGTAATGTAAAGTATTCCTCTAATAAATTTTAAAAAGTATATGATAATTAATACTTACAAGAATTCTTAATGTACCTGAGTTTTAAGTATGTTTTGGATACCCAGTAACTTGTAGCAGTCACGGTCCCAAAGAGGACTCCAAGAGCACTTCTTTTATTGTTTTAATTTCATTTACTTTTTACATTCCAATCCCAGTTCCCCCTCCCTCCTCTCCTCAGGCTCACTCCACCTTGCATCTGTTTCCAGGAGCACTTCTATGGTGTGTTTTCAATTAGCTTCTCTATCTGGCAGGTTGGCTACTGGAATGATATGGATAAGTTAGTGTTGATCCAAGATGTACCCACTCTCGGCAATGACACAGCAGCTATTGAAAACAGAACAGTGGTTGTAACCACTATAATGGTGAGTTTTGGTGTATGCTTTATAGTGTTCCGTCTTACCCACAGGCAAATTTAACTCCCTGGCTGTGATGAGGGGATACAAGCTGAATCTTAGTGGTGACTTGAGTGCTCTGATCCACCCAAGTCTACTGAGGCTTTGAATAGATCTGTCCCAAGCTTGGACACACTTACCTCTCTCATTGTCCTTGTTTGTGTTACTTTTTGTTGCAATGTTTTTCTTGGGGGAAAAACGACTCAGATGCTAAAAATTGAGACTGTGAAACTGAAGTTGGAAATGTTTGAAATTCTGAGAACCCCAACACTGAACAATGAATTTGAGGAAGCCAAGCTCCAACCGAATCCCAAAACCATCTGTTGGAAATACCAAATTCTCAGTGTTTTCAAAAGCATCAATGAAATAATTATTAATTGTGTTTAAATGATTGTCTCAGGTCATTATGGGAGAGTGATCTGTCTTGCCTGTTTCTAATCACAAAATAAATGTGAATGTGGCGATTTTAATGGTTACTTTTAAAAATATATAACCAAATTGATTTTGTTGGATAACTGTTTTTAATGTAAAAAGACATTTCCACCCATTGATTATTTTCCTCATTGACATATATAATTGAATGAACTTCTAGAAATTAAGAAAAATGTGATATTTCATTTGACCATATCATAAAAATTTTAAATGTGCTAAAATTTAAGGCTCCTACTTCAAGGAGTTCTCCTGGAATTGCCTTTTAAATTATAGAATATTCTAACAATTTTTGTCTTCCAAAGAGAAGCATGTCCTTTACAGTTGGTGGTAGTCAAAGGTAATTAACAATTAGTTAATACCTTTTTTAAGGTCAAAGATCTTCAGTTAACTCTTAGTAGGTAAAATATATTATCAGTTATTCATAAAAACCCTCTAAATAAAATGGAAGTCTTTATGTAAGTTAACTGTTAACTTACATAATTTCAAATTTTAGTTTTAGAGTTTTAGGAATGTCTACATATTTCTAAAATTGACACTGAAATCAAAGCATAAAAATATCAAAAATAAGCATTTGCCTATTGCAATCAGTTATGCCTGTTTTGGATAACCAGTTAGCAATTTAATGTAATCTGACAAGCCTTGATTGGGAGTTGATTACTTTAGAATGCAAAGCCACCAACGGCAGTGTTTTTGTATAAACTCTCCTGACTTAATTGTGTAATATTTGCATGGTACTTGAAAAGCAGGATGTATATACATATATGTATATGTATTTCTTTTCCTTAAAAAAAAAAGACACAGTAATGGAAATTTATACTTCAGTACAGTCCTCCTCTTTTCAGCCTCTGATGAAGAACCCTATTTTAAGAAATTGACCAAGAAAGACAAGAGTTCCACGCTGTTCGACCATTCCTAACTAAGGCTCGAATCTTGTTCTCCTGAGTAGTAAATTTAAGCTCATTTTTCATGTGGGATTCTTCTTGGATAACCAACTCTGGACTACCAGAAAACAGTTTTTAAATGTGTGTGTGTGTGTGTGTGTGTGTGTGTGTGTGTGTGACTTTTGTGAGTTATTAGAACAAAAGAAGAATTAATCCTCAGCCCTTATCATTCTCAATAAAATAGATGTTGAAAAATAATAAACTGGTGATTCTGATAACCCCATTCGTATGTCATAAAATGAAGTCATTGTACATGATGGGCTCTCTAAGTGTAGATTTCATCAAAGTGAACCTGAATTTATGTGCCCATTCTCTGAATAGACACACAATTGCTTGCTTTAGAATCTTTTGAAATGTTTCCTGTTCTGTGAAATGAATGTATGATGTATACTAAGGGTGTAATGTGGAGTCTCCTTCCTTGGCCTGTTGAGAAAGGTGGTACTTAAAATTCCTAGTGTCAAATTACAGAATTGGTTTCCCAAGCATGGCTAGTCTTCAAGAAGCATGATATCAAAAATTAAGTAACAAGTGATGAAAAAAATGTTATTTCATATATATATATAATTGCTTGATAGTGATAATAACAATATTTTTGTTATCAAAATAGCACATATAAGTAGTATCTGTCTTTTATGTAACTGTAATCTTTATTTAAATCATTCCCTTGATATTTTTCAACTGCATAACTGTTCCTTAATGACAAAACAAAACAGAAAACTCTGGAGCACCCTCACTTAAAATGTTAATTGAACTTGATTCTGTTTAAAGAATTAGCTTAGGAGCTAGGACAATCCCCCTTACCTCAATTACTTGGGAAGAACACTGATTACCTTTAGCTGATAAGATACTGATAATTGCATGTAATATCCCTCCATAGTCACCTGAAAAAACTCAGTACAGTTGGAGTAGGTAGAGGTTGCAATGACTCTGATACAGAGGTCTAGCTAGATACGGAGCAAGCTAACAGTGAGCTCTGGAGACCATTTAGCTTCTCTTCTAAATGGGTACTGTATTGCTGAATTCACTTCATTTTCCCTGTGTATGCTGTATTTATATGGTGTTATACCATTGTGATATATGTTATTGTTAAATAAAGTTGATTGAGAAATTCAGCTATTCAGAAATACTTACTGACCGTCTGTTATGTGCCAGTCTCGGGGTTAGACCCTGGGGATATATCAGATGTGACTCCTACACTCAAGGGAAAAAAAACAATAAGAAACATAATTCATTATGATTTACTGTTGAAATTTATTTTTCCTTGCAAGTATTGTACATCTACAATAGATCTTCATTTTCAAGATGAATTTACTCTCCTTAAACACAACTATGTCAAATATATTGACTATGACAAAGCTAACCTAAATAAGAAACAATTTGTAATTACACAAACTTTTATCTTTAATTCTTACTGACTAAAACTTAAGTAAAACCATAACATTCATCAGACTGGGGACACAGAGATTCCATTTCTGCAGACAAATAAAAACTGAAAACAAACCCAAGAAGCCAAATCTAAACCACACAAATAGGAGAAGTATAGTTGTTGTGGTAAACATAGCTTCTGTAGACTCAGGAAAAGGGGGGGTATACTTTTCCTGTCTCAACACCTTCTTTCCTCTTGAATGCTCCAAGAAGTAAGTCCATTGGAGGGAGAACATGTTTTATTCTTCAGTGCTTTACACCATAAGTTAATTCTATGTTAGTATGAGTTAGTATTGTATGCCACTTAGATAAGGTGATACTATCTTATGAATACACAATTCTCTAAGAAATATATCCATAAAGCCAAATTTATTCACTGTAGCATTAGAATTGCATTTCAAACATGAACTCATTTGTGTAATTACTCCATCTTCCTTATTTTAACTTTTTATAACTTTAAAATATATTATGTAAAAAATTTAAATATACTAACACATAGTACAAGAAGCATACATATATTAATAATATGTGTTTGTAAATATAAAATCTACATCAAAAATAGAAACGATCATTTTCTTTGCCATACCAAATATTAATTCCCCTTCCTAGAAAGGGCTTATAGCAATGAAGTTTTTTTTTTTTTTAAAAAAAAATGTTCTAGCTTGAAATTATGGTGCTTAAATTTGCTCATTTCATTTTTTCTTTTATTTTTTTTTCTTAGTGTTTGGTATTTGTTTCTCCAACACAGGATTTCTCTATGTATTCCTGGCTGTCCTGGAACTTGCTCTGTAGACCAGACTGACCTCAAACTCACGGAGATCTGAGTGCCTCTGCCTTCTAGAATTAAAGTTGTGCAACACAACAGCTCGGCTGACTCATTTATTTCTAAATTGAACAAGAGTTTCATTTCCATTTTCCTTAATTTTGCTCACAGAACTAAATTATCAGTCTTTGTAAAGATTCCCTGTTTAAAAAAAATGGAATAAAATTCTTTTTTATAATGGTTGTTTATAATGGTGAAACTTACAAAGTGGTAATTTTTGTGCTGAGTTTCTGGTTTCAACACTTGATTTTGCTAAATTCCAGTAATACAAAACAATACTTCAGTGAGGGACATGTATCCTGGTGATCATATTTAGTTTAACTAATTCAAGGTTCAAATCATTTTAATATATTATTGGCAAACTTTTCACAAGCCAGGCCTAGCGTTGCAGCTTCAGCCTGAGATTGGTACCCTTTCTGAAGTAACCCAGAACGTACAGAACACCATCCATCACAGGAATTATCTTAATGAATACACTGCTGCGAAGAAGTGATACCAGCAGAGTCTCATAGCATCCCCTAAAGCACAGTGGCATGTGATTAAAGAAGTAAGGATTTATATTTCTCTCCTCTGATGTTCCTATCGTTAACCACAGTAAAACACTGAGGATTCTGTATGGCCACTTCACAAAGATGTTCCACAAATCCCCTACCCCAGTAACATCATAGCATTTTCTTCATATTGCATGGAGCGTATTTGGTATTTTGTTTAAGCGTAGTAACCCTAAAACTTGATATAAAACCTCTCCAGTGTACAAAGTTTTAATAGCTACCAGCAGATAGTTCGTTACAAAGGAGGCAGCTGAGAGCTAGTGATTTGTGACTGACATGGATTTGACATGAAGGGAAAGCAAATGGAAAAACCCTCAGGAATCTGTTGGAGGTTTACAAAACGTCCCTAGCTCTCCTCTCCCTTTCCTGTCTCTGTGCCCTAGCATGTTGTCAGTCATTTTCTGTTTTGTTTTGTTTTTCCTTACTGTATACATTTCAGACCCTTAATATTGTCTGGGTAACTGTTAGAATCTTCAATAAGCTGAAGGGTTTTCTAATCTTAGTTGCAATATTTGGCAAGAAACAAAGACTCAAGGGGAGCAGCTGTCCAGAAGGAAATGGGAAAAAATGAAAGAGGGTCCTAAATAAATATTTCAGTCTAACATAGATCTACCTGCTGAAGACAGATAGCCCTGTGTACGAGGAGCCACTATTTACCTTCATTTTGAAAATCTGAATTGTTGTATTCTGACATAACTTCTTAGTCATAATGGTCCTAGTCTGAAAGGGTAATAGGGAGGTCAGCACTTACTACAAGTGAAAACCGTTTACTCTACTTTCTTTACTCAAAATGTCATACTTGCCTTGTCTAATGGTATAGAAACATATACATTTAATTTTGTTCCCTGTCTTGCTAAATTGTATGAAGTTAGTTACAAGTTAGTTACAAGTCTTTTAATGGGTATTGTAACAAATGCAAGAGTTTCCAGATGTTTGGAAAATAAAACATGACTCCCATTTCTGTCACTTGTTAACCAAGTACAATTGAGTACTCACTTAACCTCTGTGACTCTCAGTTTTCCTGTCTGTAAGATAAGAGGTGCTTACTTCAAGATGCAACGCAAAATGTAAATCAAAGTACATAGTTCAAGGACTCAACATTGCATCTAGCAAAAAGAAGCACAAAGTCAGTAAGAGAAACTTCTTTTTATATTAAATCTGTTGTTGTTTTCACCACTGGTATCCCTTTATTCTTATCACAAAGAATGTACAAGCATCTTGATCCCCAGGAGACAAAGGACAAACTGTGTTTCTTTTTCTAGGCCTATGTTCCAGTAAATGTCTGGCAAAATGCAAGCACTTAATTAACGTGTGATTAAATGACGAACTTACAGCTTTTCATAGAGCAAACTAGTTACCATGTTAGAAACCAAAAAAAAACCTCTTGAAAATTATGCAGTAATATGTTTACTTGAAAGGCAAAATTCCTAAATGTTCATGTACTCAAGACACCTTAAACATGACCTTCAACTTTACTTCCAAATGAGAGTACTAGCATAACTTGTTCTACTTGAATATTCTAACTGTACAGATATATCAATTGCAATGTTTTACACTCAATTTTACATGTGTGGTTTTGCTATTTTCTATATACTATTCTATTGTCTAATTAGATGACTCTAAAAAGATGAAAAAGTTGTTCATAAAGCTACTAATATTTTAAAGTTTAGAAAATCTTCTCTTTGCAGCTACCCATGAATTTGCTTGGTCACATTCGTAGTTTGAAAAGCATGTTAAGCTTTCATACAAACCTCTTTTTGAAGGCTAATAGACAATCTCCGTGAAAGAAGGTATAAATAGTTACCTCAGTTTTATGAATGGCAGAATTTACTTCTTAACCTATTCTAGTCTTCAATATCTATCCAGTGCCAAGGATCTGGGTCACATGTTCATGGCAACCAAAGGAAGAATTTAATAAAATAGTATAAAGGCCTGTCTTGAGTAGTTTCCCACTGGAAAAACATGTGAAACATCTGCATGAGGAATACAATTTTAAGGAATTTCCTAATTTTCTCAAGTTGTTAAATTGGGTGATTAGAATAAAGTTAGAATTGGTATGGGGCTTTTGGACTCTGTAGATTCAGCTGCTTTTTATTGTAGAGTTCTAAATGCAAGTTCAAATTCTTTAACTGAAAAAAAAATTTTCTGGGGAAAAGAAGACAAAACTCTTAGGACAATCTTAAATTAGGGTTAGAGTATAAGTTCTCTATAAAATGTAAGTACATTATATCAACAATATTACACCAATTTGTTACTACTTTTCTGAAAGTGAAACATTGAGTTATGGTCAGGAGTTACCTCCATAGTGTATACCACAAACCTATCAAACCCATCTTTCTGTTTATGGATAGGTGCTAATAGATCAATCACTCTGGGATGGCTAAACCACTTCTTAAATTAAAGCCTAAAAATATTGTTATTGAAGTGTGTGTGTGTGTGTATGTGTGTGTGTGAGAGAGAGGGGGGAGGGAGAAAAGAGGAGAGAGAGGGAGGGAGGAAGGGGGAGAGAGAGAGAAGGAGGAAGAGAGAGAGTAAGAGAGAGGGGGTGAGAGAGGGAGAAAAAGAAGAAAAGAGACACAGGCTTAATGAAAACATTTTAGCAGTTATTAAAGACCAGGAAGCTATTTCAATTGATGAGGATGCTCTCAATTCTTCTTGCTCCCATCCTCTAAGTCATTGCATAGAAAACTAAATGGGAATATCAAAGTGCACATTCTTTACGTGTAGAAGGACACAGAAACAAATTTCATAATAAACTTAAAATTTATGAGGCACATTTGTTATTTAAAGTCAAAATATGACACAATAGGAGCAAAGTGAATTCCACACAAGTAACTAACGCTATGTGCCTTTAAGCTATTATTTCTTACTTGAAGAACTGTAACAAATGCCATCTCTGAGAAAGGCACCTTATTAACACACTTGAAATGGTATTTTGAAAAAAAAAGGGGGACGGAATATGAAGTTAGACGACTGTGAATACGTTTTGAATACACTATAGTCACCATTAAATAACTTTTGATTTTGTGAATTACTCTGGAAATGTCAGTTTCAAGGCTAAAAATTATTAAAGACTCTTCCCTAGAAAATTACCAATGGAAGTGGGGGGGTAGTGGCTCACTCCTTTAGTCCTAGCACTGGAGGCAGAGGAAGACAGATCTCTACGAGTACAAAGCCAGCCTAATCTACAGAGTGGGTTCCAGGAGAGCTAAAGCTGTCTCAGAAAAAAAAATTACTAATGGCTTTATTTTTATTTTTTTAAGTCATAGTACTAGATATGTAACAACCACGCAAAGTATTTTTAAATTTTATCTATATTACTCAATGTAAACCAGTATAATACAATTCTACATACTTTTACATATTCACCTCTCTTATCAATAATTCTAGCCACATAAAATCATATAAATATAATAGACATATTCTTTTGTCAAAAGTTCTGGAACTATAGTTACCGAACGGTTTTTCAAATGTTTTTAAATTTCTCCTTTACAGTTCTGCTTCTCTCATTGTAGGAATCCCCATATGTTATGTACAAGAAAAATCATGAAATGTTTGAAGGAAATGACAAGTATGAAGGCTACTGTGTAGATTTGGCATCTGAAATTGCAAAACATATTGGTATCAAGTATAAAATTGCCATTGTCCCTGATGGAAAATATGGAGCAAGGGATGCAGACACTAAAATCTGGAATGGAATGGTAGGAGAGCTTGTGTATGGGGTAAGCAAACCTATTTATGAGGAATTTACTTACATAAGCCTGAAGCTTCTTTTCCCTTGAGCATGTATCAATTTTTAAACATCCATGACTACATTCTTTGCTAATTTGTAGCAATGTTTCAAAGGGTATTCATTATATTCAACATTTCTCTCTTTCCTAAAATACAAATTCCAAGTAACAGAACTGATCCTGGTAACTTAGAATGAGAAAAGAGATAAAAAAATTCAGACGACAGTGTCTTCCACATAGCTCAGAGACAGGAATGAAAACAAAAGCCACATTGACTTAAAATCTGTGATGAATACACCTTAAAATGTTAGACCACAGACAGCTTCAAAGCCCCATGAGCAATCTGCTACTGGTAAGATTTCCTCCAAAGTATAAAGTCAGTGACTACTTTATCTAATGTGTGCCTTATTATTTAGAATTGCTCATAAGTGTCTTTTAACTAACTTCTGATTACCATAGTCTCCCAGTGTCTGAAATACCCAACAGTATTGTGTTTCTTACAATTCTTTGAGCCACAGTGAATGTACACTTCAGATAATGCACCTCCCTCCCCCCCGCCCGCCTCGTCATTCTAGCATATATAACAAAACACAAAAGCTAGAATATTTTCCAAAGTAGGCCTTTCACACAGCATGCTGTGCCCTTCCCCTGAGCAAACACACTGGATATGGAATGCACACATTAATAGCCAAGGGCAATCACAACACAACACAGCAGGGAAATTCTGCCTGAATAAACAAGATCAAGGCCCCTCGTTTTTGGCAGCCATTGTAGTGTCACAATCAAACCCTAGTGATGCTATAATATATCCAAAATGCAGAGTCCAAGCCTGCGCGCAGGAGGGTTTGTGCATCCAGAAACCATACTGTGAGTTATTCTAAATGCTAATTTGTAGTTCACAGATTTCAATTTTACAATATACACTCTCTCTAATTAATCCTCAGGAAACCCCTTTGAAATGAGGAGTTATACGGAGAGGCAGCTTTCATCAGGAAAAATGTAAACAGACACAAGATACAGGAAGAGTGCAAAGAAGGAATTAAATTCCTGGCTAGAACAGCAATGAAACAGTTTAAAATTCTGCATCTCGTTTCTCTTTCTTTTGTTATTATATTTTATTATTTAAACCATTTTTAAACATAAATGTATTTTGATCATATTCTTCCCCTCCCCCAAGTAATTCCAGCTCCTCACTCAAATTTAAGTTCAGCAAACAAACAACAATCAAACACAACAACAAAACCTCAAAATCAAGAAAACAAAATAAAACAGCACCATCCAACTATACCCAAATAAATGCATGCATGAGCACAAACACACACACACACACACACACACACACACACACACACACCACAAGCAAAATACCATGTGGTGGTCACCTAGTCCTGAACATGGAAGCTGTCCTGGAGTGATTAAAATATCCAGCATCATTCTACTCAACAAAACTGATTCCCTCTCTCCCACAGGTAAAAATAAAGTCAATTGTTACCCTTTATCCTAGTAGCCAGGTTTTCATTTATTCCTTCCTTTATTTCTTAAAAAAAAAAGTCACAAAATAAAATAAGATCAAACAAAAATTATCATAATGAAGTTAGATAAGGCAAACCAACAGAAAGAAAAGATTCCACGAAAAGAAACACACACGCAGGAGTCCCTTATAAACACTGAGCTAGTAGCTGTAGTGTACACACAATCATGCTGGTTCAGACCCCTGTAGACTTTGTTCTTGCTACCTCAGTATCTGTGAGTTCATATGAATGTTGGTCAGCTGATTTAGAGTGCCTTTTTCTCCTGGTTTCCGCCATCCCCTCTGGCTCTGAGGGGAAGCATTTGACTGCATCCACATTTCAAACTATAACATGAAAAACATTTTCCACCGGGTGCAGTACAATAGCTAGAACTTCAGCAGACACCCGAAAACGGGTCACATCATAGAGCAACCAGTGTGACATCAATGGGAAAGACTCGCTGAGGGATTCATTGACTCAAATGAAGGAAAGATGAAGTTTAAGAAATAATATGCAGAATGTGTTTTGCCACGGGTTCATAGATAATGTCATAATGGGTTTTAAGCTCTGAAGGAGGAGTCCCTAACACTCTGCTCTTAAAACTCCAATTTCTAATACTGTAAGCATACTTCAGAAAATGGCATGATCCAATTATTAGAAACACAGGCTAAATTCTGTTACCCAAAATACAATAGGTCAGAAGGCTACAATTTTTCAGCTTTCCTGTTCAAATATACTTTCATATTCCTAATGGGAAATCTTAGGGGTGAAAACAAAGTCTAAACATGTGGGTAGAATTTTCACTTGCTAATAAATATCTACCCCTAAAAGCTGTCAAATTTTGGAGCATTTCTGATTGCTAGCTACATCACTACTTAGCTGCAGATGCTCTGACCTACCTGAGAATTTTCTGGGCTATCATTTATATGTCTCTCCTTCCCAGATCACCCCTGCACAAGTGTTGTCACCATATTTTACTTCTTAAATAATTTTTATATATGTATATTGTTTTTTCTTATTTTATATATGGATCCAAATTCCTTCTCCATCCTCCCTCCCATGCCTCCCAACTCCTCTCCCATCTCATCCTATCCTCACTCCACAGGGAGGGTGATGCCTTCCAGGAGAGATCATCAAAATCTTTCAAGTCATTTGGAGTAAGGGCTAGGCCCTCCCTCTTGTCTCTAGGCCAAGAGAGTATCCCTACATGGCGAATGTGCTCCCAAAGTCCTTTCTTGCACCAGGGATACATCCAGGTGCCACTGTCTCTTAGACTGCCCAGGACTTCAAACTGAGACACACATTCAGATCTGAGTTGGTATAATGCTGGCTTCCAAGCTATCAGTTTGGGAATCCTTGAGCTCCGCCTTGTTCAGGTCAGCTGTCTCTGTGGGTTTCTGTGGGTCAAGCCTGGTCTTGACCACTTTTCTTATCACACCTCCCTCTCTGCAACTGGATTTCAGGAGTTCAGCTCAATGTTTAACTGTGGGTGCCTGCACCTGTTTCCATCAGCACCTAGATGAGGGCTCTATGATGGCATGTAAGTTAGTTATCAGTCTTATTATCAGGGAAGGGCAAATAAGGTAGCCTTTCCACGATAGCTCAGATGGTTAGTTGGGGTCACACTTGTAGGTCTCTGAACATTTCTCTAGAGTCAACCTTCTCCTCAAACCTATAATAGCTCTCTCTATTATGGTATCTCTTTTTTTTTTTTGTTCTCATCTATTCATCCCCCAACTCAGTATTCCTAGTCACACATGTTATTCTCTCCTCCCCTTCTCTTTCTCCTAAGTCCCTCTCCACTCACTGCCTCCCAGCCTACTCCCAATATGCTCACAACATCTTGTTCCTTTCCCCTTCTGCGAGGGACCTCATATGAATCTCTTAGGTTCCTCGTTGTATCCTAGTTTCTCTGGTGATGTGAATTACAGGCTGGTGATCCTTTGCTCTATATCTAAAATCCATAAATGAGTGAGTACATGTACAATGGTACTCTTTTTGTGACTGGATTGCCTCACTTAGGATGGTTTCTTCAAGTTCCATCCATTTGCCTATGAAATGCAAGATTCCATTGTTTGTTTGTTGGTTTGTTTTGTTTTGTTGCAGCTGAGTAGTATTCCATTATGTAAATGTGCCACATATTCTTTATCCATTCTTCAGTTGAGGGGCACCGAGATTGCTTACAGGATCTTGCTATTAAAAATAATGCTGCTACGAACATGTGGATCATTTGGATATATGCCTAAAAGCAGAATTGCCTGGTCCTGTGGTAGGCTGATTCCCATTTTCCTGAGGAACCACCATACTGATCTCCAAAATGCTGTACGAGTTTGCACTCCTACCAGCCTTGGCAGAGTGCTCCCCTTTCTCCACATCCTCTCCACCATAAGTTGCCATTGGTGTTTCTAATTTTAGCCATTCTGGCAGGAGTAAGATGGTATCTCAGAGTTATTTTGATTTGCATTTCCCTGATGGCTCAGGATGTTGAGAACTTTCTTAAGTGTCTTTCAGCCATTTTGGATTCCTCTATTGAGAATTCTCTCTTCAGTTCTGCACCTTACTTTCTAATAGGGACATTTGGTATTTTGGTGACTATTTCTTGAGTTCTTTGTATATATTGGAGATCATCCCTTGGTCAGATATGGGGTTGGTGAAGATTTTTTCCAGTCTGTAGGCTGCAATTTGGTATTGTCCACTGCATCCTTTGCCTTACAGAAGCTTCTCAGTTTGAGGAAGTCTCATTTATTAATTGTAAATCTCAGTGTCTGTGCTACCAGTGCTACGTTCATGAAGCAGTCTCCTGTACCAATTTGTTCAAGGGTACCTCCCACCTTCTCTCCTGAGAGGGTCAGTGGGACTGGATTTATGTTGGGGGCTTTGGTCCATATCAACTTATGGCGATAGGCATGGGTCTTTCTGAAGTCTTCTATACACCATCATCCAATTGTTCCAGCACCATTTGTTCAAGATGCTATCATCCTTTCATTGTATAATTTTAACTGTTTTGTCAAAATCCGGTGTTCATAGGTATATGAGTTAATATCAGAACTTTCGATTCAATTGCAATGGTCTACCTGTCTATTGTTGTGCTAATACCAAGCTGTTTTCGGGACTATAGCTCTATAGTAGAGCTTGAAGTCAGGGATGCTGATGCCTCCTGAAGATACTTTATTGTACAGGGTTGTTTTGGCTCTCCTGGGTCTTTTGTTTTTACATATAAAGTTGAATATTATCCTTTTGACCTCTGTGAAGAATTGTGCTGGGGTGCTGATGGGGATTGCAGTGAATCTGTAGATTGCTTTTGCCAATATTACCATGTTACTATGTTTATCCTACCTATCTAAGCCCATGGGAGATCTTTCCATTTTCTGGTATCTTGTTTAATTTCTTTGTTTAAAGATACAAAGTTGTTGCCATATAAGTCTTTTATTTGTTTAGTAAGCATTACCCCAAGATACTTTACGTTGTCTGTGGCTATTG